GCGTGAGCAAAACCGTTTGCTTAAATTGTAGTCGGAGGGCCAACCTGGGGCCATCCAGTATAAGAGAGCACCAGGGTGGCACGCGTCACCCCGAAAGCCGCGTGAGAAAAACAAGTTGTTTCAATTGAAGTCGGAGGACCAATATGGGTCCATCCAATATAAGAGAGCACCAGGGTGACACGTGCCACCCCGAAAACAGTGAGAGAAAAGCCATGTGTTTCACTTGTAGCCTGGGGACCAACATAATGCCATCCAATGTACGAAAGCACCAAGGTGACACGTGTCAACCTGAAAACCGCGAGAACATAATCGCTTGCTTCACTTGTGTCTTGAAGGCGAACATGGAGCCATGCAGTACAACAACCTACCAGGGTGGCACGCGTCACCCCGAACGCCGTGTGAGACAAACCACTTGTTCCAACTGTATCCTGAGCACCAGCATAGGGCCATGCAATACACGGCAGCACCAGGGAAACCCGTGCCACCCCGAAAACCTTCGAGAAACACCAAGCTGTACCACTTGTAGTCTGCAAGCAAGCATGGGGCCATGCCAATAGAACACCAAGCTGACACGTGGCATCCCGAACATCGTGTGGGAACAAACAATCGCCTCACTTGCATCCTGAGGGCCAACATGGAGCCACCCACGAATAGAACGCACCAGGGTGACACGTGCCACCCCGAAAACAGTGTAAGAGCACGAGAACTGTTTCCCTTGGCTTCGGGGACCAACATGGAACCATGTAATACAAGAACGTGCCAGACTGACACGTGACACCCCGAACAAATTCAGAGAAAAGCGAGGTACACATTGTGTAACCCAACATATGGCCATCCTATAAGAAAGCACCCGGGTGACACGTGTCACCCCCAACACCATACGAGAGAAACGAACTGCTTCACGTGTACTCTGAAAGGGGCACACACTTTAAAACAACACTCGGGTGACACGTATACTGCTTCACTTGTATTCTGAAGGGTAATACGGGGCCATATAGTGCAAGAATTCACCGACGTGTCACATGTCACCAAGAACGCTATGTGAGAAAACACCATTTGTTCCCTAGCATGCTGGGCGTCAACGAAGGGTCATCTCGCCTAAGAAAAGGTCAGGCTGACTGGCGTCAACCCGAAAACCGCGTAAGAAACACAACTGTGTAACTTGAAATATAAAACCCGATGGGGCCATACATTATAAGGAAACGCACATTCGTGACACGCTTGACCACGAAAACCATGACGATTAACATCTGCCCAAGCTGTACCCGAAGACAAGCATGGGACCATTCAGTATAAGAAAACACCAGGGTGCGTGTACGTAGCATCGTTGCCTGTCCGGCGAATGTTTTCAAGGAGGGACACTTTAAACAATCATTCTTCGGCAGCGAATTAATGACACTCGGGATCTGAAAGGGGGGCGGTGGGGGTCATGGTCATAATCTTCAAAGCAGTCTCAATCATTACACGCCTAAAGCACAAACAATGCCCCCCTCCCCCTTCTAAAGCACACATGACCACAAGTCATCCTCAAGTGTGCTGCTCCATTCGGACTGACGCCGCCAACACCACGCGTGAGGTGCTGCGCGCTATGAGCGCGCTCCCTCAGGAGAGCCCAGAATCGAATCGATAAGGCGATCGAAACGAATCGGATCGGTGGAAATCGACCAAGTCGGGCGAAGTCGAGTCGACAGAAATCGGCAGGCTAGTCAGGCCTCCGTGGAGAACTCGACATCATAACCGAAACCCGATGTCGAATCGAGTGGGAACCGGCTCCTCCTCCTCCTCCTCCTCCTCCTCCTCCTCCTTCTCCTCCTCTCCTCCTACCCCTCCTCCTCCTCCTTATCCTCCTCCTCCTCCTCCTGCTCCTGCTCCTCCTCCTCCTCCTCCTCCTCCTCCTGTCTTTTCGCGCCTCCGCGGGCGGAGACTGCAGCAGATCCCGGCCCGGACGGCCTCGCACCGGGCCGGCGGCGGCGCGCCGCCGCGGCAGCCTCCGCCCCTCGGGCAGGGCGAGAGGGGGGGATAGCAATCGAGCAGGGAATCGACTACAGCCGGGCCACTGAAAGAAGGAACGCCAAATGAGGAACGAAGCCCCTTATTGGCCCCGTAAGCGCCTCCGTGCCCCACGGAGGGCAAGAGGAACAGCACTGGAGGAACCTAAGGATTTTCGAGTCCCTTCCGAACCCACACTGTTCCTTATTTCAGCGACTTGGCTGTACAGAATTGATTAACCCCAGCCCTGATTTTCTCGTCGCGTCGACGAAGAAAGACTCAGAATGCTCTGTAGATGTGCGACAAATCCACGTACTCGTCGTAGATTCGATGGAGAAGACCAGTTTTGGGGTCAATCAATCATGTAGTCGATCCCCTACCCGAAGCAAAGGGGGGTTCGAGGATCAGCTCACGTGGCTGATTTTCCCGGCGCCTCCCGGCGGCGGGAGGCGCGCCATGTATCGAGGAATGGGCCCAGCGGCGGGGCCGAGACCAGCTGCATGCAGCAGATTCTGTGACCCCCCCTTTCCCTGTCCCGCCCTTCCGTTCGGTCCGAGCCCCTCCCTTCTCCGCACGGCCCCCCCACGTCGTGAGTTTGGATCACGGCGTGGGCTCGCAGAGGTCCCGACCCCTTTCGGCGGCGAGCGAGAGGGGGAAGTGAGAAGGGGCGGGCCTGCTCAGGTTCTCAGGAGGCTCGGAGGTGCCCCGGCCTTCTGAGTGTTCTGGACCTGCCCCGGAAGCACAGAGACCTCCTCAGAAGGCGCGAGGGTTTCTGAGAAGCCCCGCCGCCTTCTGAGATGGCCTTCTCCTTCTCACTTGCCCCCCTCGCTCGCCGCCGACCCTTCCCCAGGGAGCGGGGGGTTCATCCTGAGGTCGATGTTTGACTGCCCCGGGGCCGAGCAAAGGCCCAACAGAGGCCGACAGGCCACACCAGAAAGAACCTCCAGCCGTGAGGCTTGTCGCGGCGTCGGGGGGCCTGGCCTTCGGGACACACCTCGGATCTCTGGCGGCCGCCAGGGACGACCTGGGCACCCCTGGAAGGCGTTTCGGCGAGGCGCAGCTGCTGCAGAGCATCCCCCGCGGCTGGAACACCTCGGGGGGGTGGGGGGGGCTGGCGGACACGTCCGGACCGCGGCCCGCGAGGCCGCCCCCCCCAGGTCGGACGAAAGGGTGACCTCGCAAAGTTGGGCAGGGGCCGACCGTCCCCGCATGCCTGGAGCCCTGCCACGGCAGATCATCAGAACGAAAATGACGCTCGAAAGACAAACGCAACGTTCATAGAACATAGCACCGACGCACTACAACACGACGGCCCCAGCCGGTAGCACAGTCATCGGTGGGCCTCTAGGCCAGCCAGGACGCCTGGCCACTGCCTGACAGAGGGGCGGTGAAGGAATCGGCTCGCGTGGCTGCCTTTCCCTGGCGCCCCGCGGCGCCAGTGTGTCGCGGAGAGGTGCTCGGCGGCGGGGCCGAAACCAGCTGCATGCAGCAGATGTCGCAGCCCCCGCACTTGTGTGGCAACTCGTGGAAGCCTCCCATGTCATCGTGTTGGCCCTTGCGACTCGACGCTGACCGACGCCAATAGACGGTGGTCGCCGCCAATCGACGCGAAATCGATGCCAATCGACGCTGAATCGGCGCTCTCTCGTCGCTTATACTACGCTAGCGCACGCGAGCGCATGCACTCTGGGGACGGAATTGCGAGGACACACGCGGCTCCCATGAGCTGCTACCGAACCCCCCTTTCCCTGTCTCGCCCACGTCGTCAGACCCAAACCCTGGGAGGGGGGGCTCGACGTACACACCACGTCGATTGGTCTGCCGAGGAGCTCGGTGCACGACCGCCCCGGCTGTGGGACGCTGGAGCGTCTATACACCGAGCTCCTTCGTCGAACTCCTTGGCTCCCTGGCCGACCAAACGACGTCGTGTAACACCGAGCCCCTGGCGAAGCCCCCCGCGCAGAGGAGCGTGCGATGCGGATATGGTTGGCGTTCTCGTTGCTGCGGACGTAGCGCAGCGCCTCTCGCGGCGGACTTCCGCGCGGCCACGCGGTGGGCGCTGCCGCCGCGGGAACGGCGGGCGGCGGCGGCGGCGACAACGGCCACGACAACCCGCGGACGCCGACCGTGATAGTAGAAGAGACGCAAAGAAGATGATTGGCATGACGAGGACTGTATACGTGATGAGTATGACTAGGATTAGGTCGGGCCTGTCCCCCTGCAAGGGGATTGCGGGCGAAAAATTAAGAATACTCAAACAATACGCAACAGATGCCCAACCATGCTCAAAAAATAGTCCCCAGACTATCCTTTCGACTATGTTTGAACATTCACCCTGTCGAGGGACAGGCCGACTTAAAAGGCCAGGACTCCAGACGTAATGAGGTGAGGGCACTGGGCACGGAACCCTCCAGGCAAACGTTCCAGGGTCTGGAAAAGCCCGCGGAGCGCCCATCGAGGCCTGGCCCCTCCGCCTCCTCCTCCGCCTCCGCCTCCGCCTCCGCCTCCGCCTCCTCCGCCTCCGCCTCCTCCGCCTCCGCCGCCTCCTCCTACTCCTCCTCCTTCTCCCTTCCTCCAATCCTCCCTTCCGAGGCCTCCGGAGCACACTCCTCCCCGCACGCCCCCCACCGCTCCGACAGAGGAGCGCGGCGCGCGTGGTGCCAGGCATGGCAGGGCAGGGCAAGGGGCGAGGGCGGAGCTCTCAGCAGAGGCGAGGGAGCGGCGAACGGGCAGAGGGGCGCGGCGGGGGGGGAGAGGCGGAGTGGGAGGCAGAGGAGGGCGGAAGGAGCTGAACTGAAGGGGTCCCAGGATACACAAAAAAGTACACACAAATAAAATGTTCCCCATATTTTCCCATATGTTTTGAATCTTTGTCTTCCCCCCACTTCCCATATTTTCCCATATTTCCTGGGAGTGGACGATTCATTGTGTCTGTGTGTTTTTTTCCCTCCTGATGAACGAGCACAGGCCCAGCGCAGGTTTCCTGGGAGCGCGTGGGCGCGGGCGCCCCCTCAGACGCAGCGGACCTTGCCGTGGGTCGGCAGCGCGAAGTCGTTAGAAGAACGCTTCGAACCGCCTGCGATCCAGGCCAACGCTGCGACTAACATCAATCCAAGGAAAATCGTCCCTGGGGCATCCAACCGCAAAAAGGGCATGTGGTTGCCGTAGTCAGCAAATAGCTCCTCCTCCGAACTCCACTGGGACATCCACTGCTCGTTCTCCTTGTTGACTTCGAATGCAGGGCTGGCCACACGAGTCTCATTAAGCATGTATGCGTGGCTTGAAACCTCTTCATCTGTTGCAGCGTGTTCTCTCTCGAAGTCGATGAACCCCGCTTTTCCTGGGCGGGCAACGAGATACGGATACCGCTGCTCCCCGAACTCTTGCCAGAATGACGGGGGGAATGCACCCGTGGCGACGAGGACCTCCCAGGAAGGCCAAGCGAGGCGAAAACGAAGGAGGGGCGCGCACCGTATGGGCATCTTTCCCTCCCGAGCTCCAGACTTGTGCGGGAACGCACAGTCGCGCGGGTACGCAAAGTGCAGCCACTGCGCAAACAGGCGGCCGTGCAGAGGCACGCGGCCGGAGTTGGCGGCCGCCACCGCGTCTAGCTGCCTCCTGAGGGAGCAGAAGCATGATGGGCATGTCTTCCACCACCACCACCACCACAAGTTGGAGGGGGAGGGGGTCCTCCTCCTCCTCCTCCACCGCCTCCTCCTCGTCCTCGTCCTCCTTCTCCTCCTCCGCCTCCTCCTCTCTTCCTCCCCCTCCTCCTCCTCCTCTCTCCCTCCCCTCCTCTTCCTCCCCCTCCTCCTCCTCCTCCTCGCCCTCCTCCTCCTCCTCCTCCTCCTCGTCCTCGTCCTCCTCCTCCTCCTCCTCCTCCTCGTCCTCCTCCTCCTCCCCCTCCAGCTCATGGTGGTGGTGGCACACAGCCCATCCGAAACAACATCAGTGACACGCCGCCGTGGGGAGCCCATCAGCGCGTCCTGCTGCAGAAGCACGGCGCCTCCGGACAAGCGCAAAGAAGCCACCCACCGACGGGCTCTCCCCACCGCGGCGTGCCACTGATCGGAGCGGAGGGGGCCGAACGGTCTTGCGCCGTCCCCGGGTGCGTGGCTGAAACGGATCCCCACCGCGCGCGGACTCTGCCTTTCTGCTGAATGAACCTTCACATCCACAAATTATTGTTGATACCCCCCCCCCTCCGGTGCACATGGTATTTTTCAACTGAGGTGCAATCCCCAGGCCCACACCGTTGTTTTCACGAAGGGGAAATCTGGGGCATCCGAACTGCACCTTTGGACCCCGAACTGCTGCAACAACGGCTTCCACATTGCACGTCCTCACAATTCATTATAAGATCGCGCTCCAGCTCGGGACACCCTTGCAGTTTACAAAGGCATCGTGGTCTCGCATGGGACTTCCTCGCAATATGTCCAGACGCCGCGCCGACACTCAGGAATCACACTCTCGCTCTGGACTTCCTCACGACTTACTTGGGAACCGCGCTATCGCCAGAGAAATCCTCGCGACTCATGCGGGACTGACGCTTCTGTGACCCCGCTCGACCCGGCCTTCTGGGTCCGGCCGCATGTCTCGCCCGTTGAGATACGTCCATCCGGCCCACCCGTCTTGTCTTGCCGCTTGCTCTCCTGCTCCTAACCCGCCTCCTGCTGACACCTCTCGTGCTCCCTCCTTCTCCCTCCCCCTTGCCCCTTCCCTCCTTCCCCCCTTCCCACGTTATTCTCCTCCTGGCTAGATGGTTTGGCTCCTGTCGCGGAAGCCGCTCGGGACGATCAGAGCACCCCCGGAACGCCCTCGGCTAGGCGATGCTGCTGGAAGGCACTCCCAGGCTGGGAAACAGCCCTCAACCCATGAAGACGCCCCAGAAACTCAGAGCCGTCGGCCCCCCCCCCTCAGGGCCCCCTTCTGCCCTCCCGGCTTCCGCAGCGACTCCGGCAAGTGCGCCGCGAGGTCGTCGCCCAGGCCCTGCTGGTCGGGGCTCGGTGTCTCCACCACATGTTGGGTGCTCGTTCTGGGGACCTTCCTGGAGCCACTCGCTCCACTCGTGCGTCGAGGCTGCGTCGAACGTCAGTCGATTTGGATCGACCCTGAGTCGAACCTGAGTCGAACCTGAGTCGAACTTGAGTCGAACTTGAGCCGAACTCGAGTCGAACTTGGGTCGAACAGATCCGTTAGGTGGGCTCCAGGAAGGTCCCCGAAACGAGCATCGAGCACATGTGTGCGGTCGGCCACTGCGCTCGTGGCTGCGGCGCCCCCGCTGCCCAGCTTGCGCGGGGGGCGCTGGAGCGCCCCTCCTCCGAATAATCCTTGGCCGAAGTTTCGCTTGGCTCCCTCCCTGGCCGGCCGCACGACGTGGTGTGTGTGCATCGAGCCCCACCAAGAGGGGAGAGAGAGAGAGAGAGAGTGACTACCTACCAGACCACCCCAACCCAACCCGAAGACCCGAATTTCGGGTTGGGGGGGGTATGGGTTCCATACGTGTTTTTTCGATGTTCCCCGACCCCCCCCCCCCACTGGAAATGGAGGGCACATTGAGGCCTTCGGGTTGGGTTGGGGTGGCTTGGTAGGCGGTGAGAGAGAGAGAGCCAGGAGTGGCGAAAGAGGGGAGAATGGGCCACTGGGAGCCGATGTCGCTCCCACGGCCGGATCGATCCGTGAGGGCCCCCGTGACCAAAGAGAGACAACGTCTCCCGTCGTGAGAGCGCTGCGATGCCCGGTTCTCAAGGGCCCTTCAGGCCCTCATGAATGGCGGGCGAGGGGAAATTGGGCCCTCCAAGCCCGGTGTATACGTCAAGCCCCTCACGCCTGCTCCGCGCTCTGGTTCTTCACGACCTCCCAGACCTGTGCCGGGTCGGCCACTGGCGCGGCCACGGCTTCCTCGTCTGCCGCGCGCCCACACGAGCGGGTGACGACGACGACGATGACGACGACGACGACGACGACGACGACGACGACGACAAATTGGCAAAGACGACGACGACGACGAACCAGCCACGACAACGACGAAGAAGACGGACGACGACGACGGACGACCACGACGACGACGACGACGGACGGACGACGACGACGACGACCGACCAATCGACCGACCGGCCGACCGACCGATCGACCGCCCGCCCGACCGACCGACGACGACAACGGACGACGACGGACGACGACGGACGACGACGACGGACGACGATGACGACGACGACGACGGGCAACGATTGACGTACGACGAACGACTGAACGCCACCACCGACGGCAAACGACGGACGACGAATCGGCGACGACGACGATGCTGGCGGCAAGCGACGGACGACGAATCGATAACGACGACGACGAAACGACAGCAAATGACGACCAACGACGACGGACGAAGAACGGATGACGGCAAACGATGACCGACGGCAAACGACGGATGACGAATGGGCTATAACGACGGCGATGGCGACGGCGAGGACGACGACGACCACCACCACCACGACGACGACACCGACGACGACAGACGACGACGGACGACGACAGACGACCGCGACGACGACGTCGACGACGACGACGACAGCGACTGCGACGGCGACCACGACGACGTCCCCTTGGCGGGTGGAGGCTTCTGAGAAGGCAAGGGCCTCTTCCTAGGAGGCCCCGCGCCGCCTGGAGGCCTCCAAGAAGGCTTCCCAAAAGTCGGGCGGGCTTCCCGAAGCCCCGCTTGCCGCTGCCTTCTGAGAAGCCCCGCCGTCTTCTCAGGAGGCCCGCCCACTCCCCACTCGCACCCACCCCCTCGTGGGCACCGCCAGCGTCCTCGATGTCCGCGAGGATCTCCGAGCACCTGTGCCTGCAGCAGATCGAATAGTGGGAGGTGGTGATCGGGCAGTTGGACGCAGACTGCAGGTAGTTGGATATGATCACCTGGCTCCCACGCCACGAGGAGCTTTCGTCCAGCGCCCCCGACTCCCGCAGGTACTGCTCGGACTCAGCAAAACGCCAGTCGCCCTCCAGGTTGACAGAGTAAAAGCGTGACAACGGCACGCGCCCTGTCCCGCCGGTGTCCATCTTGGTGAGAGCTTCCTCCATTGAGGAGCACTCGGAGAGCCAAAACGAGTTGAACCTCCGCGTTATCTCGCCGACGATGTGGTGCGCGTCGTCGAAGGTGAATCCCTGGGACAGCGCGTTTGAGCTCGCGGGACTCTTCCCATCCCTCTGATGAGCCCGCTGCCTGTGATGCTGGAAAGTCTTGATCTCTCCTGCGACAAACGTCGTCATCTGCGGCCACTGTGGGATTGCGCGGGTGACCAAGGCCTTCTGGCCGGCAGCCAGCATGTGCAGTATGTCAGGATTGCCTCGGACCACCCAGGAGAGCAAGTAATCCTCGAGCACGTCCTGGAGGTCGCGGCGGTAGACCGGCTGGTCGCTCCGCAGGTTCACGCTCTCGTAGGAGCGCTGCAGCTGGGCGCCATCGAACTCGAAGATCAGCTGCTGCAGTGTGACAATCACGCGGGCCACGTCGCGGAGGCCGAGCCTTCGGTGGCAACTCATGGGAGCCTCCCATGCCATCTTGCTGGCTTTTGCGAATCGACGCTGCCCGACCCAGATCGACGCCAATCGACGCTAGACTGACGTCAATCGACGCCACATCGGCCCACACGCTAGCGCACGCTAGTGCACTCTGAAGACGGAGCTTCGAGGACCGAACCCGCAGGAAGCAAACAATAAGCCCCCTGGTGATATCGCTGGCACCAGGAATGACATGCGTAATTATGTGTGGCGTCCCCCTACCACTCTGGCGATACCGTCAACACTTACGCTGAAGCGATACATTAAATGATATGTTCGCCGCTCGCCTGTGGGAAAGGTCATCGCGAGGCCTAAGACGAAAGGAACGTCGCAGAGTCGAAAGGCCACGCTAACAACACCAATGGGGAGCCGATCGGACATTGCCTCCAGGGACCTCCCGGGCAGGAGTGGAAGCAAGGAGGGAGCGGGAGGAGGAGGAGGAGGAGGAGCCCCTGCGTCTCCACGTGCTTCAGCTGCAGCACGGACTCCACGAAGCCCGGGACGGTCCCCCTCGGCGCGCCGCCCGCGGCCCCGTCCGACCCGGCGGCCAGCCCGGCGGGCTCCAGCCCGCGCAGGACCATGGAGGACTCGCGCACGAAGTGCCGGTAGGTGATCCGCCCCCGCCCCCCGAGGGCACGGCCCGGGGCGGCACGGCGTGCGACGGAAGCCTCCCTGCAGCGGAGGGAAAAAAGCGGTGCGAGACGACGGCGACGACGACGACGGCGACGACGACGACGACGATCACGACGACGACGACGACGACGACGACGACGACGACGACGACGACGACGACGACGACGACGACGACGACACAAACAGAAATTTTCGGAGCTCCGCGCGGATCAGCTACACATAAGAGCGACTCTTGGCAAGAATGGCCTTTGGTGCGCGGCTTCCCAACCGTTGCGTACGGCGCGACGGCAGCAGGCTGCGTACTCGGCCTTGGCCCCGCAGCCGAGTGGATCCATCGGATCCGCGCTGGGGTCTCCCTTGCGGCGCCTCCGGCGTCGCCCCTGGCGCACACCGCGCGCCAGGGACGGGGTCCAACGCCGTTTCAAGAAATCCGCGCGGAGCTTCGAAAGTTTGTGTTTATGCCGCTGTCTTCCTCGAATCTGCGCAACCGTTGATCGGGCCGCGGGAGGCCGGATGGAACGTCAGGCCTGCCGCGAGGGTGTCAGGAATCTCCAGCTGCTGGGAGGGGGCACCGCCCTGCCACGGCCGTCTTGACCAGCTGTGTAGTGAAGCACCTGCCTGGGGCTGGCACCTGCCGGGGCCCTGGAGTCGGCAAGGCCTGAGCTCTGGGTTGGCCTATTCTCGCTGTCCTGGCACCGCAGTTGCCTCTGAGACTCTGCGGGCACAGGACAGCGGCGCTCATGCGCACGGGAGGAGCCTGACGCGTCGTTACCAACATGGTCCTCACAGCAGAGGACCGAGGGAGCAGCGCGAAGGAGTGGGTGAATGAGGACCCAATTCGTGGTTGCGGCTGGGGCCCCACCCAGACTTTCGACGCCAGTTCGCCACCCTTCAACACATGGGGGGTCACATGTTGCTTCTGGACGTTCCGACTGCAAACGACGTCATCTCAAAGAATGTTTGGCAATGTTCAGGATCGCCCGGAACTCGGAAGCGCCCTAGATAAATCTCACGGTGCTCGCAGGAGTCACGACACGACCTAGCAGCCCCTACAAACTCAAATATTCAGTCTCCATGTGCTACTGGAAGGCGGGCACACACAAATATCAGGTAAAGGGCAGACAAAAAAACAAACCTGCCAATTATGACAGACAGTCTGGGGACGCCGGAAGTGCGCATGTAAGCATTTACTATGTGCCCAATCATCTGTTTGTCGACGCGCCCGAAACTGTTCTTCGGAAGGGCATTCCACATAGGCATCAGCTTGTCTTCAATCTTGGCGAGCTCTTCGGTTTCGACTGCTCCGCCGCACCCTAAGGCACTACTGATCGACTCGCTGAATTCCTTTGCGAACGCGTCTGAGCTGACGCTAGCTCGCAAACCGCCCCTCTGATGTACAATCTCGCTGCTTCCCGCAGCCCATGTTGCAACCGCAGCTAGGCGCAATGCGCATGAAATCATGGACGGCGTGGAGTATTTGGCCATGCCTGACCGTTTGCTCGATCGATGTATTTGTGGACCGTGTGTAGATCGTATGCGAATGAGCCCTCGCCAGTCCTTGAGCATCCCATCAATAGAATGCAACGGCGGGGATGGATCAAAAACTAAAAACGCAAATTCGAGTGCAAACGAACAGAAGGACCGTGATCTACGAGGCAGCCCTGATGCGCCAGACTGTGAGTGTTACGTGAGCTCTGCGTTGCTGCCGCTTGTCTTCTCGCTCCTATCTTACCAGCTGTCATATATAGTGTCCAAGTCCTGGGGGGTGGAATTCAATCCCCAGGGTTGGTGCGAATATCTCTTGGCTGTCTCAAGCTGACCCAGGATGGGCGAGGGAGAGCAGAGTGGACGAGGGAGAACGAACAAAACAATCTTACATCCAATGGCCTGACGGAACCCGTGCGCTCTTCCTCAAATGCAGCGGACACTGCCGTGAGCAAGCATGGCAAACACACTTGAAGAATCGCCCACGAGGCAACCAAAACAACACCCCCAGAACAACCCATAGGACACTCCAGGGGGACAACCGTGAGACAACCCACGGGACAACCACGAGCTAATCTACGGCGAATCCACGGGACAACCACCGGAAAACCACGGGACAACCCACGGGCAGATCCACGGGACAACCGCGCCGAACAACCACACGGCAAATCCACGGGACAGCCGCGGGCGCACCAACTTCCCCACGGGACCACCGCGCACGGCACCGCGACACGGAAGGCATGACCTCTCCCTAGCTGAGGCTGGCGCACCATCACCATCGTGCAACTTCGCCACGCCGCACACGCGACACACGTACACACACACCAACATCGAAATCAGCGTTCCGCGTGGAGTCACTGTGTTCTCACCCTCCACCCTCTCTCTCTCTCTCTCTGTCTCCCTGTCTCTTGTTATCTCTCCCTTTCTCATGGCTTGATGTACGTAGAAGGTGAGCCTGCGACCAGATTCCCTTTGGACCGATCTGCTGCGTAAAAGCAGCCCGACGATGGCACATCACCACCGCACGCAAGCCATGCAGGCACGTCACCGCCCTCGTCAGCACTGATCAGTTTGGTCTCTCCAGCATATGTCTTCACCATGTCGGTTTGCACGAAGCCAGGCGTACATGCAGCACAGGAGATCGAAGGATACATGCGAGACAGGACGCCGCATAGTGCATTGAGACATGCTTTGGAGAAGCCGTAGGACTGAAGCCAGAAGCCAGAACGGCTCATGCACGGCAGCGCCGTTCCTCCAGAACTCTGGGCCTCAGCAGCCTCCTCATAGTCACCGACAAACTGCTGGGCGATGCGGGCTATATCTTCCTGGGTCAGCTCGCCAGACAGCAACTCGTCACGCCTCTGACTGCTCATCTTCTTCATGTTCAGGGGGCCCGCGCCACTGCTGACAAAGACTATGCGGCCAGGGGCTGAGGCATCCAACAACTCCTCCAGAAGGGCGTCCGTGAGCCGCTGCGCTCCCTCGAGGTTAGCGGCCAACGTCTCCCTTGCAACATGTGCGGGCCATGGGCCTGGCATCCACGGCAGGTCGTATGCCACCCCGGCATTGTGCACGACGGAGAGCGCCCGCCCGCCTCGAGCGGCCGCCACTGCGGCCGCAGCCTGGCGGCACGAGGACTCCGAGAGAACGTCACAGCACAAAGGGCGAGCCCGGGGGCCCAACGCCTTCGCCGCGCGCTCGGCCGCCTCTTCAGAGCGCGCTGCTTAGAAAAAGAAAGCACGCTGTAAACATAGACTGTTGGCGCCCCGCGCGGGTTTCCTGGATCTGCGCTGGACCCCCCCCCCTCCCTGGCGCGCGGAGCGCGCCAGGGGCGGCGCCGGAGGCGCCGCCGGGGGGAGCCCCGCGCGGATCCGAGAAATCCGCGCGGAGCGCCAAAAGTTTATGCCTATGGCGTTGTTTCTCGTTCGACTGCTACCAGGACCTCGCAGCCGAGATCTTGCCGGAGAACCTGGCGACAGATCCCCAGCCCGAGGCCGCGGGCCGCGCCGGTCACCAGCACAAGGCGCTCCGCGCCCCGAGGGCGCTTGGCCGGAGAGGCCATTAGCAGGGATGTGCGCCCTGGGGCTCTCCACAGGGGGCCACGTGCGAAGCCTCCCCCTGCCCCCCCCCCACGGCTTCGGAGGGGGGAGGGCGGGGCTCCCTTCGCGGGGGAGCTCCCCCGAGCGAAGTGCACCCCACCCTCCCCCATCCGAAGCCGTGGGGGGGGCAGGGGCTTCGCGGGCCCTGGAAACGACAGGGCCGCTTCTTTACCGGTCCCGTTCTACAATTTGTTGCAAGTTCCGACGCCTTTTGTTAACCGGCTCCGTCGCCGTTCTTCTGTACGGATTCCCGCTCCGGTTCCAATCCTGGAGCCGTTTTTGTTGCCGTTTCTGGTCGTCGTTTTTTTGCTGTTTCCAATTTCAAGGGACACTTTTTCGGAAACGGTGAAAAAACGGCCTTGCCGTTTCCGGGGCCCACTCAGCCCCTGCCCCCCCACGGCTGCGGATGGGGGAGGGTGGGGTGCACTTCGCTCGGGGGAGCTCCCCCGCGAAGGGAGCCCCGCCCTCCCCCTCCGAAGCCGTGGGGGGCAGGGGGAGGGTTCGCACGTGGCCCCCCTTCTCGGCTACACGCAGGAGTGGCCCTGGGTAGAAGTGGCCTTGGGTGCGCGACTTCTTGGGGGTGCGCGCGCCAGCAGCTGCTGCTGCCTCCCTGTCGGCCATCTGGGGACCCGTCCGTGCCCGCACCACAGGCCACTCCGGCGAAAGGCCACTCTCACGTCTGGCCGACCCTTCTCAGGTGATGCAGGAGGCAAGTGAGGAAGCAGGCATGGAGCCGGAAGAGGGCCAGGGACAACCGCGGCTCTCCCGCCCATCCTGAAGGGGCCCCAGGACACACAAATAAACACACACACAAATAAGAAGATTCCCCATATTTTCCCATATTTTCTGGGTTTCTGTCGTCCCCCCCACTTCCCATATTTTCCCATAGTTTCCTGGGGGTCGACGATTATTTGTGTCTGTGTGTCTCTTCCTCTCCTGACATCCCCGAGCCGGTCCCCCGTGGCCCCTCCCGGGGCCCACCGTGGCCGTGCTGCGGGGCGGATATCCGTGCGCGGGGACGGGAGGCCTCCATAGGGGGCCCACAGCAGGGACGAGCCAGCGGCAGCGAGGGGCGCCGTGGACTCGCCTGGCCCTCCTCCGGAGGAGAGATCGCAGCTCCGGGGCCTCGCAGCCGTCTCATCGCGCCGCGCTGGCCTGGGCCAGACGGCTACGCACCGAGGGCGAAGTGCAACGAGCGCTGGGGCCGGGCGTGCACCACTGCGGTGCCCGCTCGCACCCACCAGCAGGTGGCGCGGAGGCCATGGCCTCGGATCACCGAAACATGACCCATCGGTCATGAGGAGGAGGAGGAGGAGGAGGAGGAGGAGGAGGAGACCAGGAACAGAAAGGAGGACCCGAACCTTCGACATCGTGATCTTGTTCGCTACGGGGGCTTCCGAGCTTATTTGCTTACATGTTGTTAAAAGAACTGGGGGCGTTATTTCCTACCGTTTTCCACTCTTCGCTCTTCACTCGACCAACATGTGTTAAAGACGGCATCCAGGGAAGCGGGCGTCAAGCATGTGGCATTGTGATGACTAGAATCGTCTGGAAACATGCAAGGAAAACGACAGCAAAACGGGCAGGTGGGCCACCGACCGATCCCAGACCTGGAAACGTTCACACCAACGGCGCCCAAAACGTTCACACAAACGTCGATCTGTAAAACCAAACAAGAAAGCCCTCAACGTTTCTACTACCCTCGTCAAAATTAACCTCAACAGTTGCTGGCATGTCATTTCGATTTCGGCGCGCCCCTCAATGTCGAGACGCCGCCCCTTCAATGTCGGGGCGAGGGCAAAGATCGTCTGACCGAAGTTGACTCGAGAGTCTGACGTCGACCGACATTGGAGGGGCGGCGCATGCAAGCACCCCGCACTCATCGATACTCGGCCCCAGATCTTCCGACAAGCAGTTCAGCCACGTCAGACATTTTTGAGGTTCATTTAGACGAGGTTTGTAGGAATATACCAGAACTCCCGAGCTCCCGAACCCCCATCGCCGGAGCACGTGCTTGGTCTCTGGAGCCCCGGTCGACCCGTGGCGGGCTCCGCTAGGGCCCGATCGCGGAGCCCCGGGTAGGCCGAACAAACTGTGGGGAAGCGCTCGTCGAGTACCTGCCGGCGCTTGTGTGCCCAGGGAGGAGGGATACTCCAGATTTCGTAATAAAGGGAGGGGGTCTCATTTCGGGGGGGGTCTCCTCCAGGCTATCTTGGAGGGCCTGAGGGGGTCTGGGGACGATGTTTTGGAGGCTTCTCCCACGGGGGGGGTCTAAAACTTCTCGTCTGGGAGGGTTGAGATCCCCTCCCTTATATTACGAAATGTGGGATACCTCTGAGATCCTGGAGCCGCATTTGTTCACTGAAGGGGCCCCAGGACACACAACAAATACACACAGACGAAACTATTCCCCTATATTTTCCCACACTTTCTGGGTTTCTGTCTTTCCCCCCACTTCCCATATTTTCCCATACTTTCTGGGGAGTCGACAATTATTCGTGTCTGTGTGTTTTTTCCCTCCTGATAACTCTAAAATCCTGGAGCCGCATTTGTTCACATCGGGCGGATCTGCACTATTTCGGACTCCAGGACACTGACGGCTCGATCCGGCCCGAAGGATGCAACAGAAAGATGGGGTCCAGGATTCTTGCCGAGTTCTTCACGATGTCGTTGCTGTTTCGACGTCGGCTCGCAGAGAGAGAAGGAGATGAGGGGAACGAAAGAGAGGCAAGGAACAGGGGCAATTTCCAGAACGTCGGCATCCTGTCCGAACAGAGAATACACGCAAAGTCACCCTCCTCATGCTCCTAGTCCTGCTCTCAACCCTTCTTCTGCTCATGCTCGAATGTGTGACCAACTGACTCCCAGCGCTGTGACCCACTGACCCCCCCTCCAAGGCGCATTCGAAACGTCCGCAGAGCGGGAGGGAGACAGCAACTAAGAAAATGGCAGTAAAAAATGCGCTAATGTTCGTGACAGTCCGCGCACTTAAAAAACTCCTGGAAATCAAAGACTCAACGGAATGCCGCGTACTCCCAGTAAACAAATCAAAATCTAGACCCTTGACGTCGTGATTTTTCAACGGCGTGGGCCCCCAGAGTTCTCGGCACCATCCCCGGGCCTCGGCGACTGACTTGCTTGAGGCGGGTCGTTGTGTCGGGTGCCCCTCGGCGACTGACTTGTTCGCCATTGTGGCCCCGAGGGTTTAAAAATACGCGCTCCTGGCCCGGCTCTGGCCCCCACGCGAGGCCTGGCCCCTTCCCGCGCCAATGAGAAAATCCAGAGCCCGGCAGCGGCTGCAGCGCCCCTTTGCAACTTCAAGGTGTGCCTGGGCCCCGGCGTCTACTGCGAGGGGCGGAAACGTGAGGGGGGTACCAGCTTCATTACCAGCTTAGGGGCGGACGCGCCAACCTGGAATCGGCGATACTTCGCCGATAGATCGGCGATTGGCCCCTGCGAATTAGCGAAACCCACGATCCTGGGCGGGGCGGGCTATCGGAGGAGGAGGAGGAGAAAGAGGGGTGGAGGAGGAGGAGGAGGAGGAGGAGGAGGAGGAGGAGGAGGAGGAGGAGGAGGAGGAGGAGGAGGAGGAGGAGGAGGAGGGGCTCCTCTCGGCGACGCATGGGTGATTTGGGGTCGATGCGTACCTCCCTGAGCACATCCCCTTCTGAACGTTGCCTTATGTATGGTTTTCGGGTCGAGGCTCGGCTCTCCGGCGCCCGCTCGGGGGCAGCCCTCTGGACGCCTCTCGGCGAGGCGCAGCCGCTGGAGAGCACCCCGAGGCTGGAAAACCGCCGAGAACCGACGAAGACGTCCGAAAATCTCGGGGTCGAAGCCCGTTTTTCTGTCATTTGCGGTAACGCCCGTGACTGGTCCCTCCCCCCCTCCCCCGAGCCCCCTTCTCCCCCCCGGTGGTCACGTCACGATTCGCGACGGCGCCGTCTGAAATGTTGCCACTCATATGCGTTCCAAAACGGCGCTGGCGCAACTCGCGACGTGACCAGGCCCCCTCGGCCCCCGCCCCCCCGTCACGCCCGTGATCGCACGGGACAGGGGGAACTGTCTCCTCGAGGTCGAAGCCGTTGCCCCTGAGGGGTCCCACCCTGAGCCTATCCCCCTCGATCGTTGCCGCCGAGGGGAGGTAGCTGGCACCTTTTTTTCGGCTGGCGAGCAAGGGCGGCGCACCGGAGCGCCGGGGTCAGCGCCCACGCCGGCCACTCTCGGCCCCGATCGCGCGCTCACCTGGGGAGGCCCGCGCAGGGGGCGGCACGGGCAGAGATGAGGTGACCGCGGGGTGGCCGAGGGCATACCGAGAGGGCATCGCCGATACATCGCCGACGCATCGCCGATGCAGGCAAGGATGAGGCAGCCGGGTGCCCGCGGCTTCAAGTTCGGCGACGGCGCTGGCGCCAAGCTCTGCTCCCGTCTCTCTCTGCTCGGGCCAATGATGCAGCACCACGTGGCGGAGCCCTTGCCCTTTGGGGAGAAGGCCGCCAGGGATGTTAGACGTGGATGCGAAGGTGGATTATGTCTGCGTCTAACCTAGCTCACGAGTGGGTTACGAGTGCCCCGAGTGATGAGTTCAGGGTGATGGGAGAACTTCGTGACGCGGCCTAGGCCCAGTCAGAACAAACCTGCCCCCCTAGACAACCTGGGGCATATGCAACCTGCTGATAAGCTAGGTTTGGTCATATATTTATATAAGCACCTTCGCAGCCGTCTCTGAACCAGAGCTCGACTCGAAGCCAATAGAGCGCAATGGTACTAGAAAAAGCTCGTGCGGTAAAAATGGACGTGCGACGGACAACGAGTGGGTTGAAGCACTGCTCAGCTGCTTCACCACACATGATGTATCTCACTTTTCTTCATCGCAGTTTGAAGCCCGACGGAACAAGGACCCCACCAGAAGCAAATAGCCAGTCTACGCCCAAGGGAGGAGGCCACTGGACAACAGACTCGAACAACAATGTCGGAGAACACAGATGTCATACCAAGACAGCCTCAGGGACGGCGCAACATCACAAGGAACACCCCACAGAAACATATCAACGACGAGTGACACATCCCAGTCGGCGGCGGACGATGCGAGCCAACGGGCAACATGCTGGCTGGCAGCATGGCGGCGGGCACTGTTCTTCAGCCACCGGCGAGCCACTCCAGCCTCACTCTCTCTCTCTCTCTCTCTCCATATATATATATATATATATATATCTATCGATCTTCTTCATTTCTGTATCAATACAAAGATTATATCACAAGTCTACCTCTCCACAGCCTCTTCTCCGGCCCGTGCCTCAGGATCCTCCCAGTTGACATGGGTCGGGCCACATTCGCTTCGAGTGGATGCTGCAACCAATATCTTGCAATACGTCTTGTTTCGGCCCTGCTGCACCACCCGAATTAACTCGCTCCAGGTTTGCACATCTCACGAAAGCTTCTCGCTCTCAAGGTCCAAGCGGGGCTGGGTGAGAGCAGCGGACGCTGACGTCTTCGAGATTTCCCGCCCCGCTGCCCACGGAGCTTGAATGCCCTGCTCGCCAGTCGTAGTCCCACTTGTGGCGGGCGCGGCGCCTCATCATGTGCCACCGCGACGGTGGCTGGCAAATCATCCGGACGCGGCCCTTCATGCCGACTTTCTCCGCCAAGGCGTCCACCATCTCGTTCATCTCCTCGGGCGGAAGGGCAGGCCCGTGCGTTGAACATCTTTTGGGATTGAACCAAGGGTGCGCCATGCCATCTGCCCATGATCGGCACCTGGCCCAACTCACACGTGCCAGCCCGGACATACTGAAATCGCACTCGGGCGCCGTAACCCACTTCAGCGTTGGCGTACAGGACGCATGGGGCGATGTCGCCCCGAGCTTACGGGAACCAAAGCTTTGTTTGGCTCACCCTCCGACGAACCTGCTCGTCCGCCATCGTTCTACCTTGCGCGATACCTTTTTTGATTGCCGCCTGGCTTACCCTCTGACCTGCTTTAGCCCTCCTGCATCGTGCAATCTAGCTGGCCCTGTGGCGTGCTTGCTGGATCGCGATCGCACGTTGCACCACATACCGTGTAACTAGCTCTCCATCTGGCATGCTGCTACGGCTGCAGTGCATGCGTGTCAGCTGAAAACACAGGTTGTCTCAAAACGTCCGCACACGTTTTCACACGCAGATCCGCTCGCCCACGTGTTGGGCCAGCAGACTGAAGATCACGCCGCGTTGCCTTACGCACCGCTGACGGACAAAGCTGTATCTCTCTTCCTCTGCAAGTATCCCCATCCCAGCTCCCAACAGGAGCCCATCGCTCCATTTTAAGGGGCCCCTTACCAGTCCTGACCTCCTACGACCCTTGTAGCATGATGTCTGGCAGCCTGGCACCATGGGGCATGGATCCCACGCGAAGTCTTCTGGATACGCGCTGAGAAGGCCTCGATAATTCTCAACTGACCCTGGATCCGCGCTTCCATGGCCACGCTGGAGGCGCGCAGCCAGGGCCACGCTGCTCTTTAAACTACGTTCGGTCCACGCTCCTAGAACCACGAACCTTACTAACTTACGCTGGATCGACGCTCCAATCGACACGCCCCCTGGAGGATCACTTTCGCTAGACTGGGAGTGGGGCCACCCTCCTATTTGAATTGTGATGGTTCCACGCTCCGAGACGTTACGCTGTCTAGAATGATGGGCATGGCCTCTGTGTGACCTGCGAGCCTGAACGAGTTGCGAAGTCTTTTTCAAGAGCGGCCTGAGGTGACTCCAGGAGGCTCCGATTATCCCGATGGTGCTCAATGGAATCTAAAGGGGTCACTACAAAAAAAAGTACTTGGGTGGCAAGCAAAAGAGGAACATAACGAGCAGGAGGATGACAACGACGAGGATGGCCAACAGGGATCTGATCAATCGAAGCCTGGGGATGGTGGCAGTGGCTGAAGGCCTTGAGATATTGTGTTCTAGCTTGTTTTCGAGGTTGCCCTTACGCCTGGCTTCTAACTTGCCCCGCTCCCTTGCCTGCAGGTCAGCGAGCGATGAGTACGACAGAATGAGAAGTTGCACTGTGAATGCTGTCCCTGCCAAAGAAGTCTTCGTACGTACGTATCCCCAAAGCGTTTTTGCAATGAGGGGATGAATCCTGAGAGACATGGTTCCTGACCCCAGGGTCCAGGGTGTGGGGGGTCCCCTGAGGAGCAGATGCTCATACTGAGTTGTCATTTCATTGTCCCTGGGCCCATTGGGGGCGTGAAGCAGAACCCGGTGAAACACCTCACAACCCCTCTCCCTCGAGACCTGTCTTCTTCAAAGGCACACAATATAGTCCTCCTTGGGCCGGTGAGTGTCATGTACCGTTCTCTTCCGCCGCGTACGGTGTGCAGCTAGCCTAGTGCCACTTCTCGTCTGCGTGTCCTGCGTGCCGCCTAGCTTGCCATGCCGCATGCACTCCAGCTTGCGAGCTTCTCGTGCTGTTCAACTCATCACTTGTCGTGTGGCTCGCCCCTCGGCTCGCACCCGAGCCTGCCCATTCGAAGACATTGACTTCTACCCTGATGGCATGTTGATCCGCCACTGTGCCCGTGAGGCACGAGATGCAGTGTCCTCAGGTCCCTTGCCCAGCCCCCCTGGAGTCCCAGCCCTCAACCCAGAGGATTCTTTCAAATGCCCGACCCACAATTCTTACATCTCCCAGGGCTTCTCGCGCGTCCTCTGGGCTCATCCGAGAGTTCCCGCATGAATCGTCCGGGCCAAGAGGGCCCCAAGACGACACAAACGGTCCAAGGGTGCCTCGAATCGCCGCACAATCCGTCCCAGACGTCTAAGATGGCCACGCCTAAGATGGCCCCAAGACGGCCCAAAAAGCCTTCGATGCACCCCAAGAGAGCCCCAAGAGCCTTCCAAAAGGGCCCCCGAAGGCCTGCATCATTGATTTCCACTACATTTTGCATGTTTGGGAGGCCCTCAATTCTCGAGCTTCCGGCTCTCCAAGACGGCCCAAAAGACCACCGCCCCTTAGATGGCTCAAGAGACTCCCAAGAGGTTCCCGAGAGGACTCCAAGACGGCCCAAGAGGGTTCCAAGACGGCCCCAGAGGCGCCTAAGACGGCCCAAGAGGGCCCAAAGACCAAAGACAGCCCCAAGGAGGACCCAAGAGGGGGAACGCGAAGGGAAAATTCGACTCTTCCGCCCCGGGAGGCCCCCAGATGCCCCCACGAGGCTCCAAGAGGCCGCCAAGAGGCCCCCAAAGTGCCCCAGGCCCTAAAAAAGCTCCCACACGCGGCTTCAAAACGGCCCGCAAAAGGCCCCCGAGAGGCCTCCCGTTCCATCCCAACGAACATCGTGGAGTCCTAGGACCCACAACCCAGGCACGTTGGCGGGATGCGCCGAAGGCCAAGCACATCACCAGCCGTCCACAGCACATTCTAGCCTGCCTGCTGGAAAGCCGGTGCCATACCTACCATGCTTTGTAGCCCGCCTCCTAGACTGCAGAATTGCTTGGGCTCTAGTGTCGTCTGCCTTGAGCTCGCCTTCTCGAACTCCTTGAGCTAGCTCTCGCGCTTGCCTGCTCGGCGGTATCGAGGTTCCTTTCTGGCTCGCCTCTCACATGCAGTCCCGCCCGCCTGGGGGCGGCGAATGGGAAGAGTTGTCAAGAAGGGTGAAGCGGACACTGGGAGGAGGAGGAGGAGGAGGAGGAGGAGGAGGAGAACATAGCGAAGCGAGGCACCTGGGAGGCATTCCTCCCCCAGCTCCTCCTAAGTGTTTCCTCCTCATGCTCAGCCTCCTCCTCGCCCTTATCCTGCTATGTACCCTCATCCTCCTGGATCCTTATGGCTCTTGCCCTCGAACTTTGGGGAGCAACACATGCCGATGAAGTGCTGGTCGTACGTCCAATTCGTGTAAACGTGGTTGTTTCTCAAGAAGAAATGCCTTGGAGCAGCGGAGCTCTTGCAAGACCCAGGCCACCTATAATAACGCTTTGCGCTGCAAGCGGTGCAAAACGGGATTGAGGAGGGATGAGAACAGAGACGGACAGAGGGAGGATGAGGGGCGAGGAACGTATTAGGTGAGCCAGGCGAGCTCTTCTTCGCACTGGCACTGACCCATACTGAAACACTGTCCTGCGTGTACGTCCCCCTGAGCGCGCTGCCAGTCTCAAGGAACTGTGCGAAGGAATCACGGAACATCATCGCCCATGCCTCAAGCATCGTGGTCTTTCCAAAGAGTTAGCCGCGGGACTCTGGGTCCAATTCCCAAGGTCCGCCCAATGTCTGTTCTTCCCTCATGTACACTCCACCTGGGTTGGCTTCGGGCCATCGCTCTGGCCTCAATCACCATTCGGTACGATTCTGGGCTCCCCAGAACGCTCAGGTTTCAGGCCCCAGCATTCTGGGCTCCCCAGAATGCTGGGGCCTAAACAGCCAAAAGCTAAGAGAAGCGCCGAGAGCTTCGACAAATCCCTCCACCTCCATCCCCTTCCCTTCTCCTCCGTACTCCCCCCACTCCTCCTCATCCCCCTCCTCCTCCTTCTCTTCGCCATAGGGAGCACAAGCATTTAGAACGGCTCAAGACAACCCCACAGGCACCCCGATAGAACCGCAAGAGACCTCCAAGATGGCCACTGGCACCCACAATCAGCCCAAGATCGCCCAGAGGCGGCCGAACGAGGCCCGTGGTGGCCTCCAGATAACCCTTGATACCACAGAGGATCCAAAGAAGGCTCCATAGCGGCATCACACGCCCCCACGACGACCCAAGACCAACCCGAGGGTACCCAAACAGCCAGCACAGGACGTTGACTCCCAAAGCACTTCCGAAGGTTGCGCAAAAAGACGCCCCAGAAGGGCCCCCGAAGGCATCAAATGGCTCCCGGAAGCCCTCCGGAACGTCACGAGAGCCTCTGCATTGCCTCCACGAGCTCTGGGAGAGTACGTCACAATGGGGTCCGTTCAAGTCAGTTGCTGGTACGCGCCGCTCGTCGCACTGAAAGTTGCAAGGCGTTACCTCCGATCAGGTGAAGGGCGCGCATGAATTCGCAGCGGAGCTGATGAAAAGTACTAGACGCCAAGTGTGTTCAATCCGCCGCCGCCCCGGGGGCTCATCACCATTATAGGGAACCGAACTCTATACACCGACGCTTTTGTCTGGCCTCACACTGAATCTAGTACAGGAAAACGGATCCTGGTGTATACGGGACCCTGGTGTATACATTCTTCGCTGCTTCCCCGGGAAAGCGGGGAACAAAAGTATACACCACACCGCCCCGACGTCGTCCCCGACCCTCAAAAAAAGCCTTGGGACTGAAGAGCCGCCCGCCACTGGTAATGTATATGCTCCAGTTTCCGACATTGCCATCGTCATCGTCGTCACGCCAGTGGCTGACATCGTATCAGGGGGGCGTAAGACCCGGGTACAGGGGACTCGGAAATTCCCGACGAGGTCGTCAAAAAAATGACGAGGCCGAGCCTGCATTTTGACGAGGCCTCCCGCTGCAGACATCCCACGAAACTCCTACTCGTCAAAATCCGAATCGCGGTCGTCAAAAAACGATGGCGAGCCCGAGTCCTGGCAAACCCGGGTCTTACGCTCCCCCGATCGTAGCACGGCGTGGCCGCCCGCAGCATCGTGGCATCGGGGTGAGCTTCCTCCGCGGCTGTCAGAGAGGGCCCCGCCGCGCCCGGATGGACGCGGGCAGGTCTGCGGGCCACCCAAGGCGCGGGGCACGACGCGTCCCCACCCCGCCCGCCCTGCGTGAGGTCAGAAGCGCCCCAAAGCCGCGATCCTCGAAGTGGAAAGATCGAAGAGGAGGAGGAGGAGGAGGAGGAGGAGGTGGAGGAGGGAGAACGAGAAGGGCGGGTTGGAGGAGAGGGAGGAAGGGGAAGAGGAGGAGGAGGAGGAGGAGGAGGAGGAGGTGGTGGACGTCATCCCTCAGCAATACGCCCCCAGACCCAGACCCCTTCGGTTGATGGACAAAATCCTGCACCAGCCGCGCAGACGGGGCGACGGCGCTAACTTCCACGCGCCCCCTCTGCCTCCGATTCAATGTTGATGGGCTGCGCCCGCGGGGTGCAGGATTCAGGCCAGTCGGCGGATCGACAAATCGCGCCACGGCCTGCCAATATCAAATTGGGGGCGCGGGGGGCGAAAACAAAATCAAAAAATGTGTAGGATTTTGTCCATCAGCCGTTCCCTGGGACCGGCTTTTCATCCCGAGTCGTTCTTTGACGGTCTCGTGGCCCGGCGAGGCCACTGGAGGCCACAAACCGAAAACTGACCAGAACCTTGCGTCGTGATTGTTGCAGAACGAGAAGAAGTCAGAGTCCTTTCCGCAAGACCGGCTTTTCATCCTGATCGTTTACTCCAAGTACCTCAATGGTTGTGGGATGACCAAGAGTCAGATGGGGGAGCCCTGTAGTCCGGGTGGAGTCCTGTAGTCCGGAGGGGTGATGCGTTGATCTTCAGGGTTTCACGTGCTTGAAGTCCGTGTGTGGGCCCTGATAGTCCAGGGGGGGGCCTGTAGTCCGGGGGGGGGCGGGGGTAATTGTAGTCCGTGGGGGAGGCCCTTGTAGTGCGGGGGGAGGCCTGTAGTTGGGGGGAGGGTCCTTGTAGCCCGGGGGAGGGGCCCTCGCAGTGTGGGCGGCCCCTGTAGTCCGGGAGCCCAGAACTACTGATGCACTCAGAGTGCGGACGGTCCCAGCGCCAGACGAGGGCCCCCCGAGGCCGAAAACTGGCAAAAACCTTCCGTCGTGCTTCTTCGCGACGGGAGAGCACCTGGGCTTTCGGGTCAACTCGGCTCTCCAGCGGCCGCCCGAAACGATCCGGGCACCCCCGGAACGCCCTTAAGGTGATGCGAAGCTTCCGGAAGGCATCCCGAGGCTTGAAAAACCGCCGAGAATCAACGAAAACGCACGAGAACCTCAAACCTCGAAACCTCGAGACCCCGAACCTCGATGTCAGGGGCGGCCGCCGTCATGACTTCCACAACGAGCGGAAATCAGGATTCTCCTCCTCCTCCTCCTCCTCCTCCTCCTCCTCCTCCTCCTCCTCCTCCTCCTCCTCCTCCCTCGCCACCGTGCGCGGTCGAGGCCCGTGCACGGGCGTCAGCTTCTCGGTGTAGATCTTCCGCAGGGCGTCCAGATTCGGGCTCGGCGGCTTCGCGAACTTGAAGTACCCCCGCGTCTGCCCCGCCGGCTGCTCGAAGGGGCCGCCTGACGGCGGGCAGAAACGGGAGGGCGCAGGAAAAGGATAGGGGGAGGAGGGGGAGGGGGAGGAGGGAAGCGAGGATGAGGAGGAGGACGGGAGGAGGAGGAGGAGGAGGAGGAGGAGGAGGAGGAGGAGGAGGAGGAGGAGGCGGAGGAGGAGGAGAAAGAAGAAGCGGATAATGAGGTCGAGGGGCAGGACGACGAGACGAATGGGACAAGAAGGATCGATTGGTTTGGAGGTGCTTGGCTGTTTCTGTTGGGCATCCCGAAGGCTCAGGGGCCTCATGAGGCCCCAGGAGGCCTCTGGCCACTCCTGCAGGACGACGAGGAGACATTTCGGCACCCGTCTCCGGCAGTTCTCTCCCCCGCGATCCTCATTCTCCAGTTCCTGGTCCTGGTTCTTCTCGTACTTCCTTCTCCTTTTACATCCTGCTCCTCCTCCTCCTCCTCCTCCTCCTCCTCCTCCTCCTCCTCCTCCACTTTCCCATCTTCATGCGAACTCCCCCCTCTGCCTTCTCCCCCATACTCCTCCTCCTCCTCCTCCTCTCCTCCTCCTCCTCCTCCTCGTCTTCCTCCTCCTCCTCGTCCACATCCTCCTCCCCTTCCCCTCTGCGCCGCCTTCTGCCCCCCTCCCCCCCCTCCGCCCCGCAGGCCCCCCCGCTCTCCCTCCTGCTTTCTGCGCGCGCTCGCCGTCCCCGCTCTCCGCCCCCGGCGGGCGCTTTCTGAGGGCCGAGGGCGCGGTTAGGAATTTCACCGCCATCGGCGGGCGGGACTGGGGCCCTCGCCCTGCCCAGGGGTGGCTCAAGAAAGGGCTCGAGACGGCAGCCCTGGGGAAAGGGTCGAGGCTTCAGGTCGGGCGTGTCCTCCTACAGGTGGACCTTGGACGAGGAGCAACAAATAATCCAAACATACCCCCCAAATGGCCAAACAAAAGTACCAACAGAGATAGCCCCCAAACCTTAGTGGGCCCTGGAAACGATCAGGGGGACGTACGACCTGGGTACAGGGGACTCGGAAATCCCCGACGAGGTCGTCAAAAAAATGACGAGGCCGAGCCTGCACTTTGACGAGGCCTCCCGCTGCAGACATCCCACGAAACTCCTCCTCGTCAAAATCCGAGGCGCGGTCGTCAAAAAACGATGGCGAACCCGAGTCCTGGCAAACCCGGGTCTTACGCTCCCCCGATAATGGGCCCTGGCAACGACAAGGCCGTTTTTTTACCGGTCCCGTTTTGCCGCTTTTCTGCCAGTTCCGACGCCGTTTTTTACCGGTTCCGTCGCCGTTGCTTGACCGGTTCCGGCTCCGGTTCCAATCCTGGAGCCGTTTTTTTGGCCGTTTCCGGTCGGCGTTTTTTGCCGTTTCCATTTTCAAGGGGCATTTTTTGGAAGCGGTGAGAAAACGGCCCTGCCGTTCCCGGGGCCCACAAAGGGCGGGACTGGCCCTGCTGGAGCCGTCGGCTCTCGTCCGACCGATCGCGTCCAAGGACCCCGCGCGGCCCTCCTCCTCCTCCTCCTCCTCCTCCTCCTGCCCTCGGAGGCAGGGCCCGGACGGACGCTGCCACCCCCTCCGACCCAGCGGAGCCCTCGCCACTGGGAGAGAGAGGGGGGAGATCAAGCAAGCATCTGTGCCAAGGGCAGCGCACCGGGAGAAGAGGGGAGAAGGGACGACGAGGCTCTGCCTCCCCAGCCGCCGCATCCTCCTCCTCCTCCTCCTACCCATCCGCCTCCCTCATCATCCCTCATCATACTTCCTCCTCCTCCTCCTCCTCCTCCTCCTCCTCCTCCTCCTCCTCCTCCTCCTCCTCCTCCTGCTCAACCCTCATTCTCGCTTATTCAAATGCCTCATCGCCACCCATCTTCATCCTCCATCCTCCTCCCTCACCCTCCCTCCTCCTCCTCCTTCCTGCTCCCTTCTCCTCCCTCCCTCCCTCCCTCCCTCCCTCCCTTACCCGCGAGGGCCAGGACGCCTGGCCCGGCGGCGCCGAGGGCCGCGCGCACGCGGCCCAGCGGCAGCGCGGCGGCGGCGGGGCACCGCCGACTCCTCGGGGGCTTCCGACGGCGCCGACCGACGGACGGCCGACCGCCGATGGACGGCCGACGACCGACGGACGGCAACGGCGACGACGGCGACGGATGACAGATGGCCGATGACTGACGACCGACGCCAGACGACAACGACAATGACGCCGCCGCCGATAACGAACGACGACTGACGACGGACGACTGACGACTGACGACTGACGGCTGACGGCTGACGAATGACGACTGACGGCTGGCGACGACGACGTACGGCGACGACGACTGACGTCTGACGACTGGCGACGACGACGACGGCGACGACGAAACCACGACGTTGGCCACCTCCGGGGCCATCTGGGAAGCCATCTTGGGCGTCGGGGAGGCGGAGAAAGGTGGTGCGCGGTTTTCCGTGCGGCTGGCGGTTTGAGGGAATTGTTCGGAAGGGTTCAGGCGGTTACCACGCCAACAACACCTCTTGCAAGCAACAAGGGATGGTGGACCTGTAGTGGTCGTTGGCCCCTCCCGTCAACGTGCTTGGGCCATGGACGAGGGGCTTCTGCCTATGTGTCGCGTCAGTTCTGGGCAATGGATGCGCTGAGATACTACAGCCGAAAAGATGCTCAAGAAAATTATCACTCAAGAAACCTGGGTCAGCTTTCCAGAAATCTCCTTCAGACAAACCTGGGCCAAACTATTGTGGCAACAGTGGAGGGGCGATCGCGCTCAAGAAACTGAGCCAGCTTTCCAGAGTGTTGGCTAAGAAACGCTGGCCCAGCTTTTCGAAAGGAGGTGTCTTAATCACATGCTCGACTGTACACTTGCAGCCTTCGCGTACAACGTAACAGTTTACCTGGCTTCGTGCTTTAGCGGCCCAATGTCCCTTGACGTGCGCAACTCCCTTGTTCGCCCGGTTCCTGGAACCGCAGAGTTTCACTCTGGTTTTTCGTAGCCTGGGCCCATTCCTCTTACAGTTCCGCGCGCCTCGCCTCGTACTGTCAAGTCCCGTGCTGCTGCGAACTGATAGTCGGGAACGGTGCCCCCCTCAAATGCCCTGGATGCGAAATATGGATATCGGTGGTCAATGTTTTGGCGACGGCGCCTCAGGTGAACCACTAAGTGCCACCAGTGCTTTGTCGAGATTTGGCAAGGGGCTGGCATCATATTCGCGCGCTGGTGAGAACGTATTTCTCGCACTGTGAAGTTTTGCGGTGGCGTCGTCAAGAACTACCCCACGGAACAAAGCGAAACAAAAAAGAGTAGGAGTAACAGTGATCGTGCGCCCCCTAGCTTGTCAGTTGGCTCCGCCTTGCTGAGCCTTGCTGGAGCGCACGGTCCAGTTCAAGAGACCACGGTGCTCGGGGCCAAGAGCGGCCGACCTCGCCGTTAATCAGAAGCTTCCTCATCTAGGCGATCTTCGAGGTTCCTGCGGCCTGGGAGACGGGCTCTGGCGTGTCCGATCCATTCGCGGGAATCATGATTCACAGCTCGTCAGCCGCGCCATGCCGCATGTCATCGCTCACACCGAGCGGCGTTGCGCGCGCAACACCGCGCCCTGCACTGGGCGGCGTTGGGCGGTGCTGCGCGACGGAGGCTTACAAGCTTTTCACCACAGGCTCATGGATGGGGAAGGGAACGTAAGGGCTCCTGCCGGGCGAGGGCCAAAAATCGAGGATATTTTTTGCGCTCCCATATGCGCCAAGGCTTTGTCTGCCTTTATCGCTCGGAATTCTGTGGCATATTCCAACTTCGTACGCTTTTTGCTGGGTTCTCCTGAACAAGTTCCTATCTTCTCCACAAGCATGCTAGTGGCATTTGAATGCGAAAATGCAAACCTAAACCCTAAAAATCATAAAAACCCTGTAAGCCCTGTAAACCCTCTAAACCCTGAAAACTCTCCCAGGACCAAGACAACCCCCGCTCCAGACCGCGCTCAGAGCCTTCCGGCCGCGGCGCCCGATACATCCTGCAGGAGCCGCCGGACCTCAGAGATTTCCGACTCGTCCACGAGCAGACGTTGTCCTGGTCTTTGCCTCGTCTCCTCCCGGGTGACCTTGCGTGCCCTATATGGTGAAAAACCTGAAAGCCTTCATCTCGCAGCGCCGCCCGACGCCGCCCAGTGAAGGCCGCGGTGTCGCGCGCGCGCGCAACACAGCTCCGGTGCTGCGCGATGACATCTGAGTCCCGGGCCAACCCGCAGGGGCGCGGGGCAGACCGCGCATCGCAGCCTGGGCCGCAGAGAGATGCCTTTCTTCGGGGGCGCGCAAACATGAATTGGCGATCCATGGATTTGGCGCGCGGCCCGTGCCGCCTCGTTCGGCGGCGGAAATCCGCGATTTCCCATGGAAACGGGACCCGTCGCTAATCCACGCCCCCTTGATCCATGTCTTCGATCGCCTTCTTTCTCTGCGGAGAGGCCTCGCCTGGGCGAGCACGCTCTGAACCTCGCGCGGAGCTCAGGCGAGGTGTGCATCAAAGCGAGCGGGGGACAGGGGATGCCTCGAGCGTCTCCCTCCTCGTCCTCCTTCTCCTCCTCCTCCTCCTTCTCATCCTCCTTATTCTCTTTTCCCTCTCCCCTCCTCGTCCTCCTCTTCCTCCTCCCTCCTCCTCCTCCTCCTCCTCCTCCTTCTGTTTGTTATTATTATTATGATTATGTTTCTTATTATCCTCCTCCTCCTCCTGATCCTCCTCCTCCTCCTCCTCCTCCTCCTCCTCCTCCTCCTCCTCCTCTTCCTTCTTACAGCTTCGAGCTAGTGGCGCCAGTGTCGTTCAGACGCCGCCATCGATCCCAAGACGCTGCCAAGACGGCCAAAATGGCCCCAAGAGGGCCCAACATGTCACCCAGACGGTCCAATATTACCTTCAGACGGCCCAGGAGGCCCCCGAAACGTCCCAAGAAGGCTCTCAAAGGACCCCCAGGAGGCAAACATCATCATTCGTTTTCCTTCGGCTTCTCATTTGTTTTGCGTTCTCGCCTTGGCGGGCCTCTGGCAGCCGAAGGCGACCCCAGAGGCCTCCAAAATAGCCCCACGACGGCCACAGAAGCCCCCAAAGAGCCCCAAGACTGACCAAGCGGGCCCCAAAACATGCCCAAGACGGCCCCAGAAGCCCTGAAAAGGGCCCCAAGATGTGCCAAAATGCCTCCAAGATGGCATCCGAAGGCAAAGACGCCTCCAGGGGCCCCCACCAGGCCCGAGGAGGCCCCCAAGAGGCCAGTCAGAGGCCCGCAGAAAGTCCTCCAAGGGGCCCGAGAGGGCCATGAGAGGCCTCA